TAATAGGCCCACTATTACTCTTATTTTAGGAATCTTTATTTTCTTATGATACATTCTTTATTGATATTTTAGATGAATAGTATTTTTTTATTGTTAGATTAGCATGTAGCATTTAAGAAAAATATTGTGTAGACTCATGTTTTGAAGGAAAATCATATATGGGAGAAGAAAATGACAAATTCCCATGGTTTCATAGTATTCACATACAAATAACTTGGAAGACTTGAATTACAAAAGTAGATTTTCTTTGACTTCTCATCATGTAATGAAAATAAGAAGAAAAATGACCAATGTATTAGATAGTGTTGGTCAGACCAGTTTATATCCCTTTTTTTATTTGAAGGACATAAGTGTGTTTATTTCTCTAATAATGGAAAACACCAACACGACTGGTTGGTATTGAGTACAACTTTTTTCTCACATTCACAACTAAACAGATTGTCGAGTCCAGAGGAGCCACTCTGACCATTACATGGCATACCACACTGTACATGAGTATTTACAGTTTATTCCAACCCATTTCGTTTATACTCTGAAGCACCTTCATTATGTTGCTTGATGGGACAAAACCCAGGGAAAGCCATGGTGCCCAGAGTCAGCTACCTTCCAGCCAGTCAGATTTAGTAGTTGGTGGCCACTCTGATTATGTTGAAGGGCAGCTCCGGAGCCAGGTAGGGTCCAGGGGCTGGGCCCAGACACTGTGAAAGGGACATGCAAAGGATGTAGTTCCCTGGATGATGATAGTTTATAATTTTAAATCTTTGTAGTTCTTTATCTCAGAATAACATATATTGCTAATTGGAGGCTTATTATTTCCTTTGTGTGCATGTATGTAGGTACATGTGCTCTTATGAAAGTGAGGGAACCTTCACTGTGGGTCCTTGTCAAGCTTGGCACCTTTGCCTGCCGAGCCGTCTTTGCAGCCCAACTTTGGTTTATCATAAGAATGATAAAGCTTTTTGTTTGTTTGCTTTTCAAGACAGGGTTTCTCTATGTAACATCCCTGGCTGTCCTGGAACTCGCTCTGTGGACTAGGGTGGCCTCGAACTCACAGAGATCCATCTGCCTCTGCCTCCCAAGTGGTGGGATCAAAGGTGTGCACCACCATCCTCTGGCTAGGATGATAACTTTTGTGGAATGTATTTGTATGAGAACATTTTTTAAAGTTGAGGAAAATAATTTAAAAG